AGCATAGTAGAGTTCCTCCTGCAATCGGGTGATGAGACTATCCACGTTCAGCTCCCCGTCCGTCATCTTGTCGACACTCTGCACTCTGGTTTTATCACCTATAGCGCCTCAACTTCTTCTCGGGGGCGATTTCCTGAGGGAGCCGGTGCACACCACGTCGCCGCCGCCGCCGCTCATGCTGCTGGCCGCCCTCTGCCGCCGCCGAAGCTGCTGTAGGCCCGATCGTCGTAGGTATCGAAGTCCGCCATTTGCCGTCTCCGCTCCGAGAGGAAACAGGGTCCACTTTGACTCTTTACAACAGTCATTTGTAAGGGTGCTCATTTTACAGACGAGGCCTCTGAGGCGATTATGGATCTTACCCAAGGATGGAGCGAGGGTCACAGGCTGCCGTCTGACTCAGAGCCTCACTCTGGAGCCCCTGCAGGCTCCTCTTACGTGGGCATGAACCCACCGTGGAGCTCTGTGCTACTGTTAATAGCAGACCTGATAATCTCCTTACGCTTTCCAAAACACTTTCTAGGGCACCATATAATTTCATTTCATCATGATTGTACTAAGGAGTATCTAAGTTATTCAAATGGTTATATTCAGCCACTAAACAAATGTTTGGAAGTCCAAATCCGCTAGAGGCACCCGGAAGAAAGCTCTGATGATCGACTTTCAAAAAACCAACTTTTGAAGATCCTATGAGGCACAGTTCTATGTAGCATACCCAGGATTTCCATGCACCAGAATAAATGAAACAAACTAGTTGCTGTAAGAATAATATGCCAATTAGCTAAGAGATAAACATCATCGCATGGACTAATTTACATATAATATATAAATTAATGAAAAGTTATACATGCATAGAGCCCAGGAGAAAATGTGATCATCTGGGTAGAAAGGAGTAGGTAAGAATTGCCTAGTGAGGACTGAAGTAAAATGCGAATGCAGAAAGCAGAATTATATGATGATGGCGACATAACTGTGATGAGGCATTAAGGTGCCACTTGAGGCCAGAGTCTGGTGAGAAGAGAGGCTGTGATCACCCTAGACCCTCAACAGATGCAGCTCTGAGCTTGGTTGTCTGCTCAGGTGATCTTTCCAGAACTGAGGTGGGGACTAAGGCAGTCCAGCCATAATCAGTTCCTTAGTGGTTATTAGATAATTCAATCGAGCAACCTCAGTGCTCAATTCCATCTCTACTTCTAGCTCTGAGTGTGAACTGGAGTTACTTTCTTTCCCCAACCTGCTTTATCACCCGTTAAACTGGGGTAATAATGCTTTCCTTGTATGTTCATTAAGAGCAATCAACAAGATCATGTAATAGATTTTTTTTTTTTTATGTAATAGATTTTAACTCAACGCTTCACACATAGTGAATAGTACTAGCTAGATAGCTGTGGCTGCTGCTGTTGGTTGATCCTCAAGCAGGGCAGACTCTCTCCACCTGCCTCCTGTGGGATTCGAGGAGACCACAAAGTAGAGGAATGACTTGAGCTTTGTTCACCTTCCAACAGCCCTTTGCTGTAGGGGCATAATGTCTCCCTTTTTCACACCCAAGAACTCATTCTCCTGGAAACAGAGACAACAGTAGTTCATCATCCAGGCTTTTTTGAGAGTAGATTTCTTATGTGCCACTGATTGTTGAATGGCTTCATAGTAAGGTAGAACCCATTTTCGTAGTAATGTGGTGGTTTCCCCTGTTTAAGCTGGTCTTTCTCTCCTTTCCCCATTTACCCTCTCATGTCTCCCAGAAATCCCACAGAGGTCTGTACCATCATTTCCGACCCCACCTGCCAACTTGCCCAGAACTCGCTCTGCAACCCCGTGGATGTGGACAATGATTGCTTGCTGACTGTGAGAAGAGCCTTCAATGGGTCTGGCACGTACTGTCTGAACCTCACTCTGTCTGATGCTACAAGCCTGGCTCTCACGAGCACGCTTGTCTCCATCCCTCACAAAGGTGACTGACTCTGTTTCTAGTTCTATTAACATTTCATGTTGTAGCAAATTATGTCTTTAGTAGCAAAGCTATTTACGACTTTGCTGTCAATGTTTCATTTTATTTCACTGCAAAATTAAAAGAATTACTAGGGTAAGAGTTGCACTGCCAATCCAAAGGCACTTGGTTCAAATCCATCACCCCTCACCCTATTTACATCCTCTGAAAACTTGTTGGAGGGTCAGGTCTGAGTCAGTTCCAACTGGACA